GTCCAACACGAGAATTGTGTCTGTGTCTACACTACATAATTATCATGCTCCAAATTAATACTCCTCTTCTTCTTTTCAAAGTATGTTTGTTAATCCTAGTGGTACCTTGAAATTCTGCTAAACTAGACTTAGAAAGGATCTTGCTTGTATCAAGAAATCTTTCTATTTTGAAGTTTGAATTTTCAAGATAAAGAACCTATTTTATTTTTCAAAACTCAGTTATATATTTCTAATTCAACACTACCCCTCAAATTGGTATCAGTAATCATGTCCAAAATGCTGACAAGATTCTCTTAGTTAGGCTGAAACAGTCCCTTCATGAGAGTATTTTTTATTTGTTGTAACGTAGGAACAAATGACATACAAAACCATGCAGATTCTACCTTCTCTTTATGAAATTCTGTCAATATCAATATGCTTAGCTTTGTCATGTTGAACTAGAGTGTCTGTGATAATACTAATGACTATCTTGTTGTCTTGTTGTCTAATAGCTTTGTCATGTTGAACCAGAGTGTCTGTGATAATACTAATGAAATTCTGTCAATATCAATATGCTTAGCTTTATGTCACAAGCACTTTCAGCCATCTATTGTGTATTACTGTGAGATCTATTGCTTTTCCATGTTACTACATTGCCCCATACAAATGTTCAGTACCCTTATGTTGAACTCCTGTCAATATTGGTCCTGCCCAGTCTGCAGACTGCATCTGTGTACATTACTCTTTTTTTTAAAAAAATCCTTAACTGAGATGTTTACATATCTTTTAATACAATAGACTGTTTCGAGATTCTCTTTGTGAGGAGAATGCATGCAAATGCAATAATAGGTCGTTTGTGTGAAAAGTAAATTAGCTTACCTACAGGTTTCTGCCACCGTCTTACCTAGATGTGTTCACTGGTTCTCTATTTTTGTCCCTGCTAAATTGTGTGATCATCTCATCTAAGTAAACCACATGTTTGGTTTGTTTGATGAGTTATCAAATCAAACAGGGATATAGGAAAATAGAGCAGAATAATCCCTCAGAGTAACAGTGGTATAAATGGAAGTAGAAATTATCCTCGGAGTAAAAGCAAACTGAAGGTAAACAAATCAAGGCTTAATTACTAGCCTCCTGTTTTGTTCTAGATCTTCCTGATCATGGGTTGGTAATGCATATCATTCAAGTTGTACCATGTGGAAGATGATGTGAGCTATTATTAGAGATGCCAGGCTGATATTGACCTTTAGACCCGACCAATAAGACCGGTAGCCAATAACTCAGAAAGAAAGGTTCCCCATGTTATAGATTGAGATATGGTCTAATATTATTTTTTTTTATTTTTTTTTATGACAAGAGAAACCCGCAGCCGCTACCCTTTGGGTGCGCACAGGGTAAAACCCCCGCTCCTATGCAATAGCTCGCAAACCACATAGGAGAGGTAAACCGCACTAGGCAAGCCTGGTGCGACGAGCTCGACCCAGAAGGCAAACCCCTTGCTTTCGCTGGCAAGGGGTTTCGAACTTGAGACCTCCAACATGGAAGTCCCAAGCTCATTGTATGAAATCTTTGATCATACTGATGAGGTTTCATGTTCTGCTAGGAAAAAGGTGATTTATTCTGGAAGCATGATGTTGGACATCCAATTACTTCATCTGCCTACGTTGATGAACACTTGCTAATGTCATGTAAAGATTCTTCCCTGTCTCAAAGGTATATTGTTGATTTTATTTTTTTAAACTTTTTTTAATTGTAGATTGATCATGCAATGAATTATTCTATGGATTATAATAAGTCAATAAGAAACTTAATCCCTGTGTGTATATGCCATTACCACCAGGTTAGTCTGTGTTTGTTCCAGTTCTGGAAGTGTGCATGTTCTTCAAGTCAGCTTGAATTTTGATGGAGAAAATCAACCATGTGATATGGTGCGGGAATTTGCTAGGTTTGAACTTGGAGGAGATGTCTTTTCCTCCCCTGTGATGATTGGTGGGGAAATATTTGTTGGTTGCAGGGATGACTACGTGCACTGTATTAGACTCCAAGAAGAAATACCAATATGAACCTATTACATCTTATCATTCACATGCTCAATCTATGGGAGTATAAAACTCCTCAATATTGAAGCATCAATTATTGGCAAAGAAGTTTCCTGCGAATTATCTGGGCCTTGCACGACAGAAGAATCAAAGAGCATCCTTCTGATGCTGGAAATGCTATGTTGAATTTTGAGAAAAGATCGGATGCAGCGTGGTTTTTGGTGCACTGTGAGATTTTTGTCAAACACTGCAGAGAGAAAGGCTCAATGTCTCACTTTGCAAAGGAATATGCTTATTTTTCCTTATATCACCAAGATTGGAACTTAAGGTTATAACAACAACAATATACCCGGTGTAATCTCACAAGTGGGGTTCGGGGGACATGATGTGTATGCAACCTTATTCCTACCTTGTGAAGGCAGAACTGAGGAGATACTTGATGCAATATCACGAGAGATTGTTTGGAAGGACTAAATAGTGAATCAAGTCTCTTTCAACTGATGTGCTCTCCCATCCAGCTTCAAGATGACAAAAGGAAGCTCCAGTTAAAGCCTGATGATTGTTTCTTTGCTGAATAACAATCAAGTTTCTTTCCAACTGTATGGTATACACTTTGTTTGGATAGTTGTTATATATTGTTTCATAAATGTATGGTATTATATTAGATTGTGTTGTATTGTAGTGTTTTGATGAATATAATATTTAGACAGATTGTATTGTTTATCACCGTTACATAATGTAGCAACTTTGTTTGGATAGTTGTTATATATTGTTTCATAAATGTATGGTATTATATTAGATTGTGTTGTATTGTAGTGTTTTGATGAATATAATATTTAGACAGATTGTATTGTTTTATCACCGTTACATAATGTAGCAACTTTGTTTGGATAGTTGTTATATATTGTTTCATAAATGTATGGTATTATATTAGATTGTGTTGTATTGTAGTGTTTTGATGAATATAATGTTTAGACAGATTGTATTGTTTTATCACCGTTACATAATGTAGCACGACCAATTTGAAGAACAGACCTATAGGCTACAGGAAAAGTAGGATACTATAAAAAGATAAAATAGTATTATTATCCTTTGTTTAATAAATATTCATACACTTCTAATATTTTCTTGAATAAACATTTTCATATGCATAGCTATAAAAATATCCTTTTAATTAATTCAATCAAATATTCATTTTCGTGGAAAAACAAAAATAATTAATTTAGAAAATTTGGGTTTAAAATAGTATATAATAAAATCATCATACAAAAAAAAAAAAAAGAGAACAGTTGTACCGACATTAGAAAAAATTAGAACTAACGTGATAGGTATATGTAATAATTAATGAGACAAAAAAATATTAACTTAATTTGTTCAGCTAGGTGAAGAACCCAAACTTAAATCTTGAGAAAATGAAAACATTTTATTTCTTGTCATTAGAAAAGCTATATATTAATTATATAAATTTAAATATCATTTTCGAGTCTTTTTAATATAAAAATATATATTTTCTTATATAGTGACATAAGAATACTTCCCATATTATCACGGTTCTATTTTAATATCTCAAGTTACAATTAAATTAAATTAAATTTTTCAACAAAAGTCTTCTTATAACTACTAAAAAAATACTAGGGCCTGGGCATATTTCGGTTCAAACCGAAAAAACCGACCGAACTGAAATTTTTTAAATTTCGGTTTCGGTTTGATCGGTCGGTTTCAATTTTCAGTTTTAAAATTTTGGTTATTCGATTCGGTTTTCGGTTTTTAACAAAATTAATTCGATTTAACCGAAAAACCGAATTTTAATACATTAACACTATACTACACTTACAGGCTACAGCCCAACCTATCCAATGTCAATAGCCCATTAAAATTTGGCCCAATTTGGCATTTGGGAGTGACCCACTGTAGCTCCTACACTTGTGAATTACCCAATTCTCAATTCCGAATCCCTAAATTGAAACTCCCATGACTGAAAATTGATTTCCCTAAATACTACACTCTCACAACTTACATTTCGACGAGACAACAATGACTCTCGTCGACCCATCTCACGACACTCGTCGGATAGTCCATCACCTCCGTTCTCGTCACTTGCCAAGTGTAGACATAGTGACTGTCTGACTGAGACTCCGCCTCCATCCTCGCTCTGGTCTTTCTATGTGTTGGTTGTTGTGTTGTTGATGGCTTGATGCCTCTTGTTGCCTGTGTAGTGTGTACTGTCTTCGGTTGGTTGTTTGGCAGTTCAACAACAGAGAACGGTCGGATTTTATTTATTTATGTGTATTATATTTAGGAAATACTACACAAATTGGACCCATTAGGCAAAATATATAGTATAAATTATAGGAATCACATAGTATAAGATCTAAATTACATCCTATCCCTATTAATTTCAATTTACAAAACTTCCTTAAAAAAGGAGGCAGCTGGATACATACCTACCGTCCGGATACATTATATTCGATACATTGTAAACAACTTCTTGTTGCGCTTAAAAAGGAACAAATCACGTAAAAGCTATTTTTACTTATTTTAATTTTCTTGATTAACGCCTAATTGATTCTCATCCGTCCATATCCCAATAGATAACAGATTCACAAATTTCAAATTTACATCTTCTTCATTGAATAACCATTAATGTCAAAAAAGTGATAATTTCAAAAAACTCGAAAAAGTTGTTGATACAAGATGAATATATTGATTTTGTTGAGGCATTCAGGAATTTGGGTGAACGAGGTGAGTTATGAAGGTTACAAAAGTGATGGAATCTCAAATTCGCCATTGATACAACAGACGAGATGGATGGATAGATACATTGATGCTACATCCGACGATCTATCAAGCCCCATTACTCGATGTTCAAAAGAACACGAGAAAATCTATCAATAATGGTTCAATTTTTCTGATTCTGGTAAAAAAATTAAGTGTTTTTGTTCAAATAAGAAGGGATCATTGACAGGTGCTCAGGTCATCATCATGAATTATCCTGGTCAGATTGGAATTGGATATTCACTAGTGCTCGACTGCCACACTTCCCATATTGTTGTAAAGTTTGTTGAGATCTTGACCAACATTGACAGGTGCTCAGGTAAGGAATTGGAGAAGGAGGCGAAATTCTTGAAGAATGGTGATGCTGGTATGGTTAAGATGATTCCCACCAAGCTTATGGTTGTTGAGACCTTTGCTGAGTACCCAACATTGGGTCGTTTTGCCGTGAGAGACATGAGGTAAACTTTTGTTGTCGGTGTTGACAAGAAGGACCCAACTGGTGCCAAGGTCACACAAGGCTGCCCAGATGAAGGGAAAGGGAATAGTTGAGTGTAATGTTGGTGTTTCCAATGCTATTTATCGTCATCAAGTGTGGTAGATGTGAATATTTGCATGGAGAATAGGGAAGGAAAATTGGAGTCATGATTATGAAATGCATTACTTGTTGGTATCTTTCAGCTTCTTTTTCTTCATTCTGTTATTTGTATTTAGCTTTTCCATCTTCGGAAGAAGGATTGGATAATAAGGATTGTAATTCAGTGCAAATGTTATTTTGGTACACTGTTTGCAATTTATTTATTTACTTTTAGATAAATTAGGACTTTAACGTTATGACAATGATTTGTTTCATGGTTCAAATAAATTTTATCAATATTTACAAATGTATGTATAATGTATTTGTTGTGTATACTCAATCAGATTACTGACTTTGTATATTTTTCTATTAATTTATGTATTTAATTATATATTTGTATCATGATGGTATTTAGATGATGCTAAATCAAGCACAGATGACAAGATTTGTTTCATGATTCAGATAAATTTCATCAATATTTATACATATATGTATAATGTATTTATTATGTATACTGAATCAGATTACGTACTAACTTTGTATATTTTTCTATTAATTATTTAGTGTTGTGATGATATTTTTAGCAATTAAAGTTGTATATAAATTGTATAAGGTTCATTCTCATTCTCATTATATAAGAAACACTTTGTATAAGATTTTACTGTTTATGCATATGATTTGACATTTTGGCTAGAAACTCAATTTTGGTCCTTCATTCGACAAGAACTAAATCATCTTGTTGCGGTGGAGTGAAGCGACCTTTTGATTTTAGAGAATCATCTTTATCGCTAACATAGTCTGACTTTGCCTTTTCAGTACCGTATCTCCATAATAATGCTTCATATCTTGTGCGAAGATAATCAACTCGAAAACCATTTGATGGGATGTTGACTTCGTCACTAAAGAACGCAGAAAAGGCAGCTACAAAAAGTAAATCATCATGAGAAACATGCCAAGTCAATCATATGAGACATAATTGTAACTACAAAGTATCTTAATGTTTAATTGATACATAATAATAAAAAAGAGTAATTGATGATCTATACAATCTGACAGATATTTGAATCTGATACTAAATGCCCACTAGTTGAACATGATACAAAAATTACTCAACACTTAAACATGATACAAAATAATTGAGTACATTTAAATTAGTAACTTGCAATGTATCTAACGTGTGTACCTAATACTGTAAGCGTCTAAAGTTTCAATCCTGAAATACAGTAAACAAGAAAAGAAAAATAGCAAGCAAACAATAATATTTGTATTTGAATTAATGCGAATGTTACAATCTTTATAAAATCTCTTAAAAATATATGTAATCCCCTCATTCTTCTTTCCACAGATGTTCTTGATTTGGCGGAATACTTGCGGCTCAATACTTGGAGCGAAGACTTCTTTGTATGCGGAAGACTTGCAGATCACCAATGAAGAGCAACTATGTATTTCTGTGTGTATCCCTTCTGGTCTTATGAAGACCTCTTTATATAGGCTTGAGCTAGGGCTTTAGGGGTGTTTTGGTCCAAGCAATTTTGACCCTTGGGCCTGAAGAACATGAGTTGGGCTCATCTTGTCAATTTAATGGACTAGCCCAAATGTTATTTGGACTTGATTTAAGTCATATCATTTTGATTTAAATATTAATCCGACTTTATTAACCAGTAATTTGACTTGGTCAACGTGTCATGAATTTAAGATTTAATCCAAATTTAGTATGGATTTATCAATAAAACTTCACTGTCTACAGATACATTTTAGTAAACTTTGTGTATCTGATACACACTGAATAGTACATGTTTTGAATTATTCACCAATGAACATCATTTTTGTATCAATAATTTCACATAATTACAACAACTCCACACATGATACAAAAATGCCCACCAGTTGAACATGATACAAAAATTGCCCGACCCTTAAAAATGATACAAACAAAGAAGTACGGTTAAATTAGTAACTTGTCATTTATCTTATGTTTGTATCTGATACATTTTAGCAAACTATTGTATGTGATGCATACTGAAAAAATATATGTTTTGAATGATACACTATTGAACATTATTTTTATATCAATAATTTTAGAAAATTACAATAACTCCTCAAATAATGAACAAAAATAGGATTTAGTGTATCAACTAATTAAACTTAAATATTGATACATTACAATATGAAACATTATATTTTCATTAATATATCATTGTTTGATTAACTAACCGAAATACATTCAACAATCGATAAAAGAAGATCGACATACTAACTGATTACACTTAAATACTGATACATTACAATATGAAACATGAATTTCGTCGTTTATGTATCATTTGTGATTAACCAACAAAAGAAAGTATCAAAATCGATAGATTTATTTAAAAAACCATCTGATATATAAGTCCAACTTAGCTTATGTTCCTAGTAGTGATGAACTTTCTGCAGATTCGGCAAACTCGCACCTCACCATTTTTCGAGAATTTCTTCAACAAAAAACTTATCAATCTCCGACTGAGAAAGAACCATTTGATATGTCCATCTCATCTCGTCCTCCATTGTTGTTCACATATAATATTAGTGCATCTCGTCCTCCATTATTGTTCACAAATAATATTAGTGCTCTCTCTCTCTCACGGTAAATCAGGTATTACATGCTCCTTCTTCAACTTCTCAATGTTTACGTTCGCCATTATTAATGAATCGTGAAGTTTTTTTATCTCTTTTCAATCCAAGCAATATCTTCAGAATAAAAAACACGACGAGTGTTATTTGAGTTTAATTGTGTAAAATCAAGACTAAAAGATGGTGCATCATCCATATGATTCAACGTTTTGAAGAAGAAAAAAAATGAAAAATAAAGGATGAACAGACAATTTGAAGAGATGAACAAATTACCTATTTCACGTTGGATTAGACTTGATTTTGATTTCAAAAGTCATGGAGAAATTAACTGATAAGAAAATGGGGGGAGATTTGTAGAGTGAAATCAGGAAGTGATAAACTTTGGTTTTTGGAGTTGTGAGTTATGTATCCGGCAGATTAGTTTTAGGAGGAAAATAAGGAATTTTGGAAATTTTAGAAATGGTAGGGAATAATGGGAATTATGAAAAAAAAAGTGTGTATATAGGTAATTTCCCCAAATATATATATGAGAAAATTACGCGATTAAGCAAACTTATACTACTTAATTAGTCATCATAGTTATAGTTTGCAATAATTATCACTCGCAACTAACATTAGCCATTAATTACGTGGGCTGACTTCGAGTTTGTATAATTCGCCACATTTGTATAATTCGCAACTAACAATTCTTCGTTTCATTTGTATTTGTATATGATGGTTTGTATATGTATATGACGATGATTTCCTTTGATTTTTTCAGTTTTATCTCCATATACATTCAACCTTTTTGTGTATAACTTTTTAAAGTTTGTCTAAACGTGTAATTTTCAGATTTTATATAATATAATTTATATAATTTAATTTGTATAATATACTTTGTATAACTGTTTAAAATTCATATGCTTATGTTTGTATCAATTCATTATTTTGTGTTTTTATCACATTTGTATAATTCCAGACTTTATATTACTCAATTATACAAAAAGACGTGAATTATACAAACGTACCCGCGAATTATATAAACATACCTGCAAAGTATACAAACGAGATGTGAATTATACTAACGAGATGCGAGTTATACAAATTATTGCCCTCTCTCGCTCGACTCTCTCCTCCCTCTCCCAATCTCGCTCGACTCTCTCCTCCCTCTTCAATCTCGCTCGCCAGATATACAAATACATATGTATACCAGTTACATATATACAATTATCTAACTGATACACATATACAACTCACCTCTCTCCGACTCTCTACCTTCTCACGTTCGCCTCTTTCATTCCTCTCCCACTATCCTCCCAATAAAATGTTGCTACGAATCGTAATTAGCAAACTATAGATATGGAGCGTAATTAAGCTATTTTTGAGTGGCTATATGTGAAAGTTCTCCGATATTTATTCAAATTAGACTCAATCCAAACTATTTATCATGATTGAACCCACTACCCAAACTATCTATCTGAGTGCTCCCTTGTTCTATTTACTGCACCACTGCTTCTTCATCCTTGATACCATTGGAGTGTGTGTATATATATATACATACATACATACATACATACATACATATACTCTGATGGTATTTATATACTCTGATGATATGAAACAATAATTGAGCAGCTTCTTTACTCAACATTGTCTCTTCCTCCTTGATGTCATACTCTATACTCTGATGGTATCAAGGAGTAGCTGAGTAGTATCCTCACCAAAGCACAGCTTCGTCATCTTTGATACCATCAGAGTATATATACACTTTGATGGTATCAAGCAGTAAACGTGAATTACTAGTTCAAAATAGGGGTACGAAAGTAAGGGGGTAGCCGCTAGTAAATAGTTTCTCCTCTTTGCCCTTATAATTATTAATATTTTGAAAGTTCATTATTTCCTTATAAAGTCATGATACTAGGAAAGAAGTAAATTTTATATTCAATTTTTAAGTTTTTAATTAAATGATTTGATATTTTAGAACTTTGAATTAAATTATTTAAAACTTATTATCTACCGATAAGATTTTGAGAACAAAAACCAAGATATGATATTACAATAAATGGCTAATATTTTATTAATTTGAAAGAATTTTTTAAAACTTATATAATAATATGCTCATGCTCTCTTTGGATACAAAGTTATAAACTATGAATACCTGTAAATGACTAGTTAAATGAAAATAAAACTTTTTGACACTCTTGATGGTACCGCATAAGAATATCAAAGTTTGAGAAAAAGAAGAACAAGTTGTAGGATAAGGGCTTTCGGCCATGAGGATTGTGAGTTTGATTGTTAA